AGCCTATTGGAAAATATTTCATTAACAAACTCCATACAACCTAACAACAACATTATAGAAAAGGAGCAGCAGTCCAGGAGATGGGAAGGATGGGGAAAATTAAGTCTAAACTTCTCAACTTCAGCACTGACAAATGGTGTATTTAGGAGGGGACTTTATCCATCATTTCACCTACAAAAAAGGTTTTATCTTCTACATGGTTTCACCTGTACTCTGCTTTGGCTTACACATGTTCCAAAGTTCTTATTCATAATGTGCTAGTGACATGCAAGGCCAGAGCAGGTCATCTATAATTTTCCCTTTCCCACAGAAACATATAATTTCTGCAGTGTTTGATGTTCACAGTCATAAGCCGCCTTGCAGAAAATACTGCCAGTTGATAGTATCCAAGGTTTGAATTTTGGGAAACTGCTGACACATTGGTCTGTGACTTTGCTTGGGGCACAAAATGTCTTACACCATACCAATATTAAGGAATGGATCCACTCCAAATTAATCCCGTAGGGGAAAAACATGCCAACAAATTGGTTTCCATCATTGAAAAAGCAAGAGGCTCATAGAAAACCTCATGGGTGGAAGGAGACATGTTAATTCAGCACTTAATCCGGTCCTATAACACAGTCCAGTCTGTCACATAATGCTGGATTCGAAGGCAGGATCCAGGAGACTGTGACAGGTTCACTGCAAGGCCACAGCTGTGCCAATCTTAACTTCACATCAGAGCAAACCACATGAAGATCTTGGTGCATTACATATGCTCTTGCACTACTACCACTACCTCCAAATCTGTCTCAACAAGGTCTAGTCAGAGAAAAAAAAAAAACAGAATATAAAAAAACCTGCAAGGCTGTCTGCAACCAGCAGCACCTCTAAGAAGGCCACTTTCACATCTCTTCTAGCCTCACACTCTCTCAATATCTATGTATGTATGTATAGATCTGTATCTAACAAGAAGATATAGAAAAGATGAAGCCAGACTCTTCCAAGAGGTGCACAGTGAAAGGTAAAAGACACAAACTGAAATATGGGGAATTCTAATTAGATATTAGTTTTTTCATGAGAATGGTCAAACACTGAAATGGCATCAGAGAGGCTGTAGGATCTCCAGTTTTGGAGATACTGTTAATTTACCTGAACCAAGCCCTGCATAACCCGCTATAAAATGGTCCTGCTTTGAGCAGCAGGTTGGACTAAATAACCGCCACAAGTCACTTCCAACCTAAATTATTCTATGATTTTTCCAAGGTATATTTGGGACTATGGGCCTTAGGAAATATTAATACATGTTTGTCATACTTAAGCTGAATGAAGAATGAATCAAGAATGGAGGCAGACTGCCAGTGCTCAGATAAGGTGAATAATAGCACTACCCACAAAATACCAACAATGTTCAGCATCTGCACTGGAGAGCTTTACACTCAGAAACCTTCTCCAGTGCACTCGAGGAACACTTCATCCACCCTGGCCTGGTGTGCTCATACCCTGCTGTGGCCAACACACCAGGACCCTGTGACTACAGACAACTGGTCCCACTTCTAGAATGTGATGCACTGGAAGAAAGATTACTGGGGATAAAAATCAGAAGAAAAAATCCTATAGGATCTCAAAACACATCTCATTCTATACAAAGGACTAAGGCTTCAATGAGGAGGACAATTTTAAAGCACTCGCTTAATCTTAGGGAGCACTGTGAGAGACTGGGAGTACTTAAATATACTGGAATAGTTATGATCTGATGATTTAAAGTGATATCTATTGATGCCCAAAGGTATTTTGGGACCCATACTTTCTTTGCTGACTGTCTGTTTTCATGTAGTTGTTTTGCCAACTACTGACAATCTGTTTAGAAATATCAGGGAACATGAAATCTGGAGGTGTATCAGTGTGTGAGCGTCCACTTCAAAACCTCTGTGAAAATAACCTTCAGGAATGGCAATCTGCCAGAGATGCAGTTTTAAGCCAGCTAAGATACAAATAACTATTCATGGCAGCTAAGGATTTTGGATTTAATGCCATTCTGCTAATGCAGAGAAATATTCAGATTTCCTTGGCTTCTGTAGACTAAACCCAGTTTAAAAGAGAAATCCATACAATACCATTCAAATAACACTGCCACTGCTGGTAGGGGTTCTGGAGGAGGTAGAACAGGGTTGTTATACTAATTTTTAAAGACCAAGTTGAAATATTTCTGTAATTCAAATGTCTACATCAGAAAGCAGATGCAGATTCATACTTCTCAATGGGCTCTGGATCACTGCTGCCTCATGGCAGAGGGATGGGTCTACCTGTACCATACTGTTCGGCACTGTGTGGTACTTGTACCTACAGGACGGTATTTCATTAGCAGGTGAAGCAGTTCTCACTTATTTTGACATCTTTGAAATGAACAATATAATGCGAAGTTAAGATTCTACTACTGTTACTCCTACCCACTCTGCAGCCTTCTCTGTCTCAAGGCAAATGTTTATGTGGTATAAACCCCAGGCTCACAGTTGAGTGTAACCAACTCTGAAGTGATGATTACCTTCACAAGACTCTGTTTACGTAAAAGATATAGTTGAGTTAGACTGAACCATGCTATCACAGCTGTTAACTGTGTTGCAGCAGCAGATCTACATAATCACCTAGGTTAAAGCAGGGCTTTCCTCTCCAGCTGGCCAAGAAGTGAGTTACGTCCTGTCTTCTCCACAAATTCTAGTCACATCACAGGCAGAAAGGATCTCAAAAGTTGTTATTCAAAGGGAAGCAGAATGAAAGAAAATTATTTTCTTTCCTCTGCCTATTCACAAGCAAAAGGATAACTGTGCTCTATAGACCATTATTAAAACTCTTTGTAACTAATCACACCATCAGATTCTCGCACACCAGCTGGATGCTAACCAAGGCTGTAACCGGGGGACCACTGGTACAGTCACTTCACTCTCTCAGATATAAGTGAAGAGCCTAATTCACATGCTCCAGAACATGAACTTTTAAATTGTTTTCAACACACCTTCAGACTTCATGGAATGAAACAAGTAGGATGACAGATGGAATAGCCGTTTTTCTCTTTTTTCATAAACCAGCTCTCAGTCTGCAGTATCTCACTGCTTATTTTTTCTGTGCCTTACTTTCATTTCTGTAAATCCATCTATGTAGACTGAACAACTTGCACTTTCTCTTTCCTCTTGTGACCGTAGTTTCTGTAATAGGTTAAGAAAGGAGGGCAAGTAGCTCCTAAGCAACTCTAGCTATCACACTTGTGGCTGGCTAAAAAAAGGCAAGAGGAAAGGAATGGGAAGAGGAAGTGAAGCCACATGGCAGTGGTAGGTCAGGGTCTTTTCCACAATCTTTCAGTGGCCTTAAGCAAATCCCTTCCCATATACATTGCTACACCTCTAAGTAATACTGTATTGAGCAGGCTCCTGGAAAGACTTCTAAAGTACAAGGATTAGCTACCAGTATACAGGTTTGAAGCATCAAAGCACTCTGAAATTCAAGGTGTTCAGCTCACTTACACATCAAACATAAATTTAAAAAGGCAAATAAACAGAATCAACACATTTATGATCCCTAGTTAAGAAGCTACCTTTAACATAAGAGCTATTGGAATAGCCCTACACGTTCAGCTTACCAGCCGCTCTATCTTCTAAAACGTATACCAGAGATCACAGCAGTCAACACATTTATTCTCTCAGTTAAGATATACTTATCCCAAGCCAAGTTTTTGTATCATCCTGACAATTCTCACTCAAATGACAATTACTTGAAGACACACAAACCACAAGTTTCACTTTTGTGAAGAAAACTATTTACAGGTGGGACAACAATAGTTAGTTAGAGCAGTTACTTCTTTAAAACAAGCTAAAAAGATGGTATGTGTTCCAGCAGGCAGTAAATCATCCCTGCCAGGATCTTTCTCAGTGACTCTGCTGCAACAAAGTTCTTATGTGATCTCAGTGCTCACTATCTCTGTTGGACAGAGTGCCCAGAGTTAGCCAAAAGAGAAAACCTAAATGCTGAAAAAATACCAAAATACTGAAGAAAACCAAAAATGAAAACTTGCTGTCACTGAAGTGGCAGTAGCAAGGGCAAAGGGGAGCTTTGTACCTGGTCTATGGGGAGGGGGGCTACTGCAACAAGTTCACAGCAGTCATCTCCATTTCTAATATTCTGTTCACCATTACCAGTCTCTTAAACTGATGAGTCAGCTTGGTGGTTTTCCCTTAAACTAGGGCATCAGATCTAAACCAGGAATGGTTGGACAGGCAGATGGATTACGTCACTGGCAGATGGATTACGGCACTGGCAACGTGGAGTTTTAGGTTGCGATTGACTTCAAATTGACTATTGCAATTATTCTCTTCCTGTGAGTCTGGAAGTGACTCATGTAAAGACAGTCAAGACCATCCCACTGAGCCTTCAGATTAAAAATAACAATGAGGCAAAAATTGGGAAATGTTAATCTGTGAAAAACAACTGATCTGAGGATACTGGAAAGGGAAATCACTTCAAGTACATCTGGCACTGGAGTGAACTCTGCTCAGCCCTGAGGGCAAGCAACCTGGCTCCCCTTGGCCTCACACCCTCCTTCCCCACCCTGCCAGGTTCCCTGGGCTCTCCAGCCAGAGGCAGCCCGCAGCCCAGCACCCTGGTCCTCCCCGCAGCCACCAGGCCCAACCAGCACCACCAGGCACACGCAGGAACATTTTCCATATGGACAGTATTCCCTGGAGCCTCACGCTAACCAGACCCCCCCAGAACAAGAGAAGAGGCTTTGGGGCGGTTTGAAGGCACAGATTTGGAAACTACCAAGGAGTCCTGGGGAACTGACAAACAGCCCTGGGGCTCTCCTTGGTCCCTCCCAACCTGCAGCCCCCGCCAGAGCCCCTGCCTGGGCTTTGTTGCTGCGGCTGGCTGGCTGTAGGCTGGGGAAGCAGGTTGCAAGGAGCCTGCTTTTCCCTTTCCACTCAAGACAGGGCCGTGCCTGGGCACGCAAGGTAAAAAAGCAAAGGACAGACCTTCTCTCTGGCCTCTTCCGCGCTGGGGAGGCTGCGCTCGTCCTGCCGGCCGCGGCTGCCGGCGGGATGCTGGCGGGCCGGTCGCGGTGCCTCACCGGCTCCACATTGATCTGCCTGCCGGGAGCCTCTTTTATTTTTTCTCCCCCTCCTCCCTCCACCCCCTTCTTTTGAGGGGAGACAAAAAAAAAAAAAAAAAAGGGTGGGGGTGGTGGTGGGGGAAACCTTTCTATTATTATTATTCTAATATATTCTGGGGGCTTGTGGTTCCTGCAACCAGGCGGAAGTGAAACCCGTTTTCGCCCCCCTCCTCCTTCCGCGATGCTCCGGGGCTGGATGCAGCCGGGCGGCGGCTCGGGGCCAGCGGGCTCCGGCCGCGGCCCCCACAGCCCGGCCGCTCCCGGGCCGCCACATCCCCCGGGAGGCAGCGACATCCCGGGCTGCCCTGCTGCCGGTCCCTCGGCCCCCAGGCGGGGTGGGTGGGGAGGCGGTGCCGTTCCCGAAAGAGCAGAGGTTGCTTTGGCGGCAAAAAAAAAAAAAAAAAAAAAAAGAAAAAAAAAAAAAAAAAAAGAAGAAGGTAGGGGGAGGGTTGGGGTATAATTTTCTTCTCCCCACTGAGGGGGAAATCTGCCCGCGCTCGGCTGATGGAGCCGGGAGCCGCACGGGGGGCTACGGGAACGGGCCGGGGCACCGGGGGCCGCTGTGCCCGGTGGCCCTGCGCGGCGGGGAGAGCCCGCTGGAGGCAAGGGCTGGCAGGGCTGGCGGTGGTTACTTCAGTGACAGGCAATTCCGGCTGGTAGCACAAGAGGAAAAGCTTTAAAATGCGGTTACGTGCAGCAGTGTCTGCTGGCTCCGTAGTGACATCCTGTGGTACGGGGGCACTACTGCTGATGGCCAGCGGAGCTCCGGAGGGACCCGACAAGCACCGGCGCAACCCAGCACGGTGAGGGGTCTGTGTTCGTTCGGGGCCCTACATCACTGGCGGTGGTTTTGTTTTAAATCACTCTTCTGCCTCATGCTGCTGCAGAACTGCTCTGTTTGTAAAAAGTAACTGGCTCTAAGGCATCGTGGGGCTTTGTGCTTTATAAATGCGTAGCATCTTCCACAATACATTATAGAACAGAGAGGGCTCAGATCAAAATACTGCAGCTGGCCTCATGCCTAGACTGAGGAGCAGAGAGTGAGAGAGACACCAAATGAACATCCAGCTAACTAAGGCAAATGTTAATTTCTGAATTCAGCATGTGTCATCATGTTGAAACAGACTTGCAGAACATCTCCCCCAGCCAAGAAGCAGAGGAGAAGAGATGAGTTAGCTCCTCTAGATACCTCCCCTGTCACACAGCACACAGGGGTGCCACCAATGACCTGTGGCAGAAAAGGCAAGAGAAAAGCCCCTGAAAGAGAGCTGAGCACGTGGACCAAAGACCACATCTTACCCATAGGCAGGAGGAAAGTGTGAAGTTGGCACCTAACAGATATAGCTGAGTTAATGGGATTCCAGTTTACAGGGATGCCACTAGTAATGAGTATTTGGTGGCATCAACTTAAAAATGTCTCCACAGCCCCTGACAAGCTTGGTAAGATCCATGCCACCATGTTTAACAATGCTCACATTGCCCAGATCAGAAAGATTAAGGCTAGCCTGGGCAGGCCTGAACACACAGCAGCTGAAACTCCTGATAATTGTTTGGAGGCATGTGGGTGCTGGTGGTAAATGGATTGGAAAAGGTTCTTCTAAACTACTACAGGAGTAACTCACATCAGATGATACAGATGTTCACAGGAGATGACTGGGACACTCTTTACCGAGGTCTCTGTTGTCCCCAGAAGCCATCTGCTCACAGCATCATGGTGGAACTTAACCCCTGTAAAATTCTGGCGCTTACCCTTCTTCCTTGTGCGAGAAGTGAAATGGCCAGTTGTGCTGGCATCTGTTTTGTCTGGTGGCACGTGTAGGACCTGCTGTTCTGGACTCTGCAGATTCATCTCTGTGCTCAGTTTTATGTTAAACATTTCCTTCCCATCCCAACAGCAACAGAGTTGCTTAGTCAGCTGGCTGCATCTCTCCCACAGCCTCGGGGTGTCTGCAGCCTCCACGCTGCCGGTGGATGGCTGACAGCCTTGGCAGCAGAAATGCCCTCTTCCAGGTGGGACTGGCCAGAAGATTTGCACCTCATCCTAAGGAGCACACTCCTGGACACACTGATGCGTGAATTTGTGTCTTGCAGTTTAATTACTGCAACTCCCTATGCTTTGAAATAAACCACAGCTAGTGTAAAATACAGCAGATGTCTGCTTAGCAATGGTGAGCAGCCTGGTGCTTTGCTCACCCTAGTTTCTTACTAACCACAGACTTCGGTCTTATTTTCTGACATTCAAAGCCCTTCATAATCTTCTTCCACAGCCAACTCCTGCTGGAGTACTGCAGCCACTGACAAAGGGGTAAGACAAGACTCTGTGAGTTTCATCTTTCCCAGACAGTATTTCTGCACTATGGAACTTATTTTGCCTCACAGAGGTACAAATAACCCAGGTCTCAATGCATTCAGAAGTAAATGCAAAACTTCTCTCCTCAGCTTAATTTCTTTGCACAAAATCACGCAGAGAATGCTAGTATCCAGCCCCACAAATCCAAGCCCTATAAACTAATCAAGCTATTCCTCTTATGGGCTAGATAAAAAGCAAGGCAGAGAAGGAAACAGATTTTTTCTATTTTAAAATACTTGGGAGGCACACAAGTCCCACAGAGATGGGAGCCATCTAAATATATATAAAGACATAGCGAGATAAATGAATCCATCTGTTGTAATCTAGCAGTTTCATAAAACCAATGAAAAAAATCGACTGTTTCATGAAACCACTAAAGCACTATTGATACTTTCAAGTTTTTAAAATTCTTCTCCAATGTGTATGAATGTAGGAAATCAACCATCCCCTGTTGGATTCCTGAAATGAATAGAAAAGGAACAACACTGTGCATGAAGCTGATGCAAACAAATCCACAATGTAATTAAAGCAAATTGTCATTAACAACCTAACACAGACTATTACAAATCCCTCCTCACACCCCAAAATACATTTCTGATTTCCATGATATGTCAGCACACACATCCACCACTACCCTTCTTCCATCCCAGAGATCTCAAACTATCTCACAGATGGTGCTTAAATGAAGCCTTACACCACCTCCATTCTCGTTCTCCACAGGAGAAACTGAGAGGCACAGAGATTTGCTTATCAACTAACAGGAAGTATTAAAACATCCGGAAAGATGTAGGTGTCCTATCTGCACATATGCCTTCCTCTTACTACTAGACAGCACTTCCAGTACAAGTCTGCTTGTAATTAGAGAAAGTTGTTCTTTTAAAGACTGCACTGAGCAATCCACTGACAGCTTTACGGGCAGCGAAGGGCACAGGAACTGTGTTTTGCTTCATCCCAATGAGTGATGCCTTTTCTCAGCTCTGTCTGAAGAGCCACATGGCAGCTATAGAACAGCACTCGTTAATATACTGTGAATTCACACCATCTTTGTTGGTTTCAAATGTTCGTATTTTGGTACAGCCAGGTGATAGATATGAGAAACAGCCAAAGGTTTCCATACATCATGAAATCTTACAAAACATATAGGAAGAGAGTCACCACATAAGCACCCAGTGTGTCATCCACCAACTCACAGGCACGTTGGTGTGTGCTCGGAAACCTTCCAGCAAAGCAGACCAGCCTGGGAAGTGGGAATACAAATGTGCGTGAGCCAGCAAGCTGTACTAGGCCAGTGGAATACCCTTGCAAGTGTTTCCCATTAAACATGCAAGCAGGGTCAGCTTCTTCCCTCTCCTCTTCAATACATGCACACGTTCCACCTCGGTGTGATCTATGGTGCGGTCCTGCTATGGTCTTTCTCTGGGTAAACCTCTATGCTCGGAGTGCAGGCAGAGAGCACGAGTCTAAGGAACAGGCAGCACAGGAGAATCAACAGGCTGAATCCTGAATTTCCTCAGTTATAGTACAGAGATACCCACAGGCCTCAGGAAGCTACCAAAATAGACATGTCCAGCAACACTATCCATCGAAAAGGCACCAGCTATACCACTCACTGTGGTCAGTTACTCTCCTCCTTGAAGAGAAGTGAAACTAGACAAGTCAGTCCCACAGTCCGTAAGTCAAAGTCCTGACTAAGTATTATTGTACATATAGAGCATTACATACCGAATACAAGACTACCTAGCAGCTATGGGCATCATGTACGACGTAATGAAAGACGGAGTTGGCAACTGCTGGTCACTTCAGGTGATCATGTCTGGATTACTATTTTAGCACACTCTTCTGTTTTCCCTTTTTCTGTTTCAGTTTTTCTTCTAGAACTTGGTAACTGATGTCTCACTGTTATTATCAGTACTTTATTACTAATATACTGTCAGTGTGTATAAAAATTACATATCTTTCCCCATAAATGCTACAATATGAAAAAACAATCTGCTGTTAATAAAACAGAGACAAATTCCCAAAGGAAATGAATGCTCTTAAAAACCACGAACTTGAAGTGAAAAAACACTCTGCTGCATTTGAAGTAATTACAAGAGAAAAATGACAAAGACTGTTTATCCTCAACACTTGGCAATTTTTATATCATGCTACTGATATTCTTAATGAAAAATGGTGCTTTTATTCACTGCCACTTCTTTTACTTTGGCCAGTGCTGTAGCCAAACATCTGCTTGTTAAGTTAGCAGAGTAAATTGATGGTTAGTAACTCATGAGTTTCCAAAGAAGATCTCCACAGACATTTCCAAAGGAAGACCCTCTCTAAAGCTTTGTAAAGATGCACTTAGGAGGGGAGAAGACTATGAAGAAAGAGAAAGATCCAGACAAAGCATTCATGTGAATGTTCAGACAGGTTGGGCTCTTCTCCTAAAAAGCCTCAATGGAGGATTTGAGACAAGTTTTCAGCTGAAGACATTCCAAAGCTCAGAGTGCAAGCTTCACACTGAACATGCCACTGTGACTGAAGCAAGCTGTGAGTGCAGGAAATTAGGCTAAAAGCAGTGGTGAGGTAGTAGATAGTTCACTGCTCAAAGGATCCATTCCTCTCCCTTCTATCTTTAGAGAGCAGCAGAG